TAGCCGTAGTGCTGGTGAAAGATACAATGTTGCCACCGTACTGACGGTAAAAAGTCAACGACGGCCACCACGTTCCGTCGACAGGGGAAGGTGTATGGAGTAGGTAATAGTGTAGTTGTTGTTGTTGTTGTTGTAGTTTGAGAGAAAGCGGTGGGCTTTGAAACAAAAGCGAGGGCAAGAAGAGAGTCCGCTTTGCCCGTGGAGCAGTCGGGGATAGGTCTAGACTAATAATATGCACGCAAGACCGACATGCGAGGGCCGGGTTGGCGAACCTGACGGGTGGGTGGTAGGATGGCGAGCATGAAGCATGGATGGGTCCGGCAGCAAGCAGCAGCAGCAGCAGTCGAAAAAGGCGGAAAAGGCTGCACCAGGGTCTGCCTATCTCTGGCCGCCATCCCATCTCCAGGGAACCCAGGCCAGTTCGCTAAACCGTCAAACCTGAGAGGCGCGTCACTCTGCGATATGCACATTCGACACACCCATTTCCAGGTTGGCAGCCTCCCGCCCGCATGGCCTCTAATAACCATAACCGCAGCCTGCCCATCACCTTATTAGAGACTGGGTCACCAGCTCGGCTGGCCGTGGTGGTGGTGGTGGCTGGTGATTACCACTCCAGATTTTCCTAAATATCACCCGCCTCCTACTCCTCACAAGACAGCTCTCCACTCTTGGCCGTCCTGCACATTGACAGCGGGGTCGCTGCTCTGAATCCTCTGATTGAGCTGCCAAGTCTCCCCAAGCCCAATTCGCCGCCCGTCCTGCAGCTCAAGCAGCACGACGGCGCCTTCGTCTGCTGCGAGAAATCCCCCCCAAAGCAGGTTTGCTGGCCTGGTGCTTACCACTTGGTATCTGGGCTGGTGGCTCGGCCTGGCAATCTGCGGTGTACGGAGTAATACCAGACGGGAGTATACTATGTACCATACACTAGAGTGAAAATCAAAACAGAGCGGCAGAGATAAGAAACAAACTACCCATGTGGCGCCATGATACAAAGCCCGTGCTTCCTCTCGTGGCATTTCGGACAAGGTGGAGTCGAGGGTCGGCATCCATTTCACCAAAAAAAAATAATGTCATTGCTATTGCCTCCCTCAAGCCCACTCGTGGTCCCCGAAATGTCATTTCGCCATTTCACGGTCTCGTGCTCGGCAGGGATCATGAGGTGTCGAAGCTATTCCCCTAATATCAAGTGTAAAAAATGAGAGAGAAGAGCGAGAGAGAGAATCAGGTGTGAAAACTGCAGAGTGTCGTGCTCGGCTGTGGCTTTCACAAGCCAACCGATGTGCCGCAGGTTAGACCCAGGGTTGGGCTGCTGTGAGCTTGGGTGTGGTGACGGGAGAGCAGCAGCGGCAGCACAGACCCTGGATGCTGGGTTGGAGAGAGAGAGGGTGAGAGGGTGGACGTGGGGGAGGTTGCCTGTGGTCCGAATTGCGTTAAGCTCATGATGTTAATCAAGCGAGCCTTCCCGAGGATAGCAGGTGGCTAAGGAATGGACCAATGGGCAGAAATACCAAGCATTTTCTCTTGATCGCGTCAATCACCTTGTTCCCCCCCCAAAGTGAGGGGCAGATACCGGGACCCAGTTTTGTCCCTGTTGGAGATTCTGCTGCTGCTGCTGCTGAGGTGTGGCGCGTCTGGAGATGGAGAAGGGAGAGCAACTGTGATTGCAGATTGCCGTAGCATTGAGCTGGGCTGTGCCGTTTCTGGCACCGGGCTGTCGGTTTCGCTCTCCCACACGGCTATCGGACATGGAGGTTATCGGGCGGGCTTTGATCTTGGGGCGCCTCTGACAAGACCACAGGCCAGCGGTCAAGTGAACACAGACAGTGGAGTCCCATCTTCCCGCACAGTTCACCGTTGGTCCCGTGGGCTCTTCGGCTCGACGGCTGCACAGGCTCCACCTCAACTCCGATCGCCGTTTGCCGGTCCGGTTTGGTCTGTGCTGAACATCGCAAGCCACCGACAGGCAATGATCGCTACGTGCCTAGGTTCCTAGCTGCCCGAGACCCTGACACGGGCCGCCAACCGTTGGGCTAACGCCATCAACCCTGCCTGCTGTTTGAGGTCCTTCAACTCCAACAGCAGCGTCAACAACAACAACAACAACAGGAGTGAGGTGTGTAAAAAGACGCGCAGCTAAAGATATCTCTCACTCACTTCTCATGTCAACGGCGGAGCATTAGGTACGGATACCCAAGGCAGAAATTTCAATATCGCCAAAGCCGTGTGATCAATGCGCATGCATCTCTGCATCTTTCTGAAAAAGCCGTTGGGGTTGTCTGCTGTGTGTATGCCAAGCTGCCAACCACAACCCCAAAAATGAAAAAAAAGCCAACTCCACCCCCCACACACCACGCACACAACCCTGGCCGCACCTCTTCTCGTTATCTTCTTCATGAAACAGCTGCCAGCCAGCCAGCCCAGCGGCCACAAATCCCAAGTGGGGAAGGTAGGACCCTAGACATCGCAATGTTGTGCGAGGTTCATGTCTCTGTGTGTGTGCCGGTGGTGATTTCTCAAAATCACCATTTCAAAACACGGGTATCTCATCCGGCGACGGCATTCTCTCCGAAGTCTCTTACACAAACAGCCCAGCACCTAGTACACGGCTGGCATCGGCATTGATCGGTGCGGAATTAGACAGTCTCTACCTATGTTATACTTGCTGAAAGATCTCATCCCACATACAAGTTCTAAATACGTCCGCCCAACCCGCATGCTGCAATCCTCCCACTCTAACCCGAGCATGCGGCGATAAGATAGGTAAGGCATTGGGCGGGCGCTCACCTCACTCTCACATCACCACAGACAAAGCCAAGAGATAGCCCGGTGTCTTTCCTCCGAAGTTCTTACACTTTCAAACTGTGGTGTTATCTCACACTACCGAACGCCACAGAAGAGGAAATATTGAGTCCCCCCCACGAACTGGACGACAACTGGCTTGATCAAATGCCGCGTACACTATCAGCTTTTGAAAGGCCCGAGAGAACCAGCGGGAACTAGTGTAATTGTACAGTACCTACACTTACATATCGACATCGAGATGGTTCTATGAACGCCACAATAGGGGCAATGTCGGCAGTTCTAGGTCAACCTAGATCAGATTATTTGTTTCCGGACATCCAAGCCATGCTCACAAGTCCATTGTCATCAAATATTTTATTGTAGAGTGCCACAATAGGGGCCATGTTCGAGAGACCAGACAGACACCTGCAGTTCTAGAACAGCATGAGCGTACCTACGAAGCTTTCAGAAAGCCCGAGCACGCTTATTGGAATTCAAAATTGGTACGAATCAACCCACACTGTTGGTGTGATTCCCGCGTGCAGGCACAGTTTCTCCTCTTAAAATATCCAGTATACAAGACCTATCCGCAACAATAACAACCCCGAAAAACAAACTACGAACAACACCGTCTACATCTTCCCCCCCCTCAAGGCCACAACTCAACAACCTCCCACTCCCCCTCCACCTTCCCCCCAGCATACTTCGCCTCCCCTGTTTTTTCCTTCTCCCCTCCTCGATAAGTATACAACCACCTCCTCGGCCTCGTCTCCTCCCTCAAATCAACCCTATCCACCTCCTCCGGCACCACCACCACAACCCTAAAATTCCCCCTCGCCTCCCCATCCCCCAAATCCTCCAGCCTCTCCCCCAACTTCTTCCCCTGATGGTAATCCACCGGCGCCCCCGGCTCCGGCCCCCCAAAACTCCCCCTCATAACCGGTGACAAATTCCCAAAATGCGCCGTCACCTCCCTCTCCCAGCTCCACTCCCCTTCTCCTTTCCCCGTCCTCCTCATCCTCTCCCCCAGCACCCCCCTCACCTTTCTCGCCCCGTCACCATCCCCATCCATCCCCGGCCCCAGCACCCAAGCCCGTCCTCTCACCCTCCACTGCGTCTTGGTCTCCTCAACCCAAAACACCGCCTCCACCGGCCCCCCGCCGCCAGACGGACCCCCAGAGACGGTTTGCGAATCGGGACCGGCCGTGTCAAAAATCTCAGACGTCTTGGCCATGCGCGCGTCGGTGGTGAAGGTTAGCAGGTCAGAGGTGAAGAGGGGGGGGTTCAAAGGCGCGGGGTTGCGCTCGTTGGGGGGGAGGGACCCCCAGAAGCCTCGAAAAACGCATGTTCTTGCGCGGGGGAGGACGGGGATGGAGGCGGAGGGGGAGAGTTGATGGGGGACGGGGTGGAGGGTAGCGAGGGTGAAGATGGGGGGTTGGAGGGAGGCGAGGTGGGTGGTGAAGGGTTCGCGCCAGGGGGCTGCTGTTGGGGGCGGTGATAGGGAAGACATTGTTCTGGTGGGTTTGGGAGGGGTGGTGGTGGCTGTGGTGAGGTGAGGTTTGCAGGTTTGCTGGAGGTGGGTTGATATTGAGGATAGGCGGCGGAGGGGGGGGGACATTCGTTGTTTTGAAAGGCTTGATAAACTGTTGTGCTGCTAGGGGGGGGAAACGTGCTGTTTTGTGAAATTAAGAGAGAGGTAAAGTTAAGGTAAGCTACGTCAGTGAATGATGTGTTTTGGTGATCTCAAAAAGCAGATGACTTCATCATAATTCTGGTGCGGGCATCGGGGTTGTTTGCTGCTACTGCTGCTGCTGTCATCCAAAATGATGTACCTACCGCTCGCACCAGTGGTGCGGGGTGAGTGGATTACACTTTGCGGGCCGCTCCGACGGCATGAGACACTTTATTTCTCTGGGATCTCTTGTCATGTAGGTAGGTGTACAAACGCAGGGTCATGAGACAACGTGAACCGGATCATAATGTAACGGCTCATTTGTGCATGAGCGTCACTTATTGCGAGCAGACTGACATCTGTTCAGGCATCTATGGAAACTGAGCTCGAATTCAACCAAGGTAGTTGTCTCTCTATGGATATCTCCAATTGGGAACTTTAAGTTGCACAGTCATCGTATCCGCAGCTCACTAAAAGTCGCTCCCTCCCACAGCCTCCTCTACACAAAGTATGTCCAGAAAGGCAAAAGGATATCGAGTCTTTAGGCTGCCCATGCCAGGATTCGAACCTGGGCCCCATGAGGTAGCAGGCTAGAGTACAACACTGCGCTGGGATGGCTGCCAACACATTATTGAAGGGTGGCTACCTCATGGAATGTTAACCACTACACCACACGGGCTTGTGTGTTTGTTGGTGGTAAGCTTAGCAAGAAGGAGGTATATATAGGGGAAGGGGTTGAGGGGGCGGAGAAGCGGAGGTGTCACGGGTTGGAAGTTTGATAGGAAGGAAGTATGACGGAGTAGGAGGTTTGATGGAGCAGGAGTCACGATGGAGCAAGAGGCACAACGCTTAGCAAACTGGTATCAAGCCCGCCTTGATACACATGGACTGTCAAGCTATCAAGTGTTGATGCGGCCCGGCAGAGTCAAATATCAAGACATGGATTACAAGCATCAAAAAGAAAGTCTCAAAAGAAAGATGTATCATTACACACCATCATTTCTTAAGAATACAGCAAACAAAAAAAGATCTCTCACGAGTTTGCCCGTGCCAGGATTCGAACCTGGGCCCCATGAGGTAGCGGTTTTTGTGGGTGTTGTGTTTTTTTCTGTAATTCCAAACGCTTCGAAGGGCCAACTCCTCATGGAATGCTAACCACTGCACCACACGGGCTTGTTCTGTTTGTTGGAAAAGTATGGCAGGCAATAGGTATATGTAGGGGAAGAGAGAGGGGGCGGAAGGTTTGGTAGATATGGGGCAAGATGGGGAAGGCAGACTGTGAGGAGAAGGTGCGGATGGGAAGGTGGGAGGTTGGTGGAGGAAGTAAGGTAAGTGGTCAAAAGCAGAAGTCACATATACCAGCAGGGCAAGGCACGGGAAGAAACATGACAGTTGGGGCTCAAGTTACAAGGTAACAGCAATCAACGAACCACCCTCCACCATACTCCAAGCATCTCCCTGCACGGCCCTCAATACCTAAGGACAGATGTCTACCTGTGAGACAAAGCCCATGCCTACTGTAGCAGAAGCCTAAGAAACTTCCACTCCCATCGCCAAAAGCCGCCACAAACCAGCACCCTCGAACTTAGTATCTCAGTCCACCATCACAGGCAATGCTCAGAAGAGAACAACCAGCAAAAGATATATTCTCGCACCAGGATTCAAACCAGGCCTTCAGGTTCAAGGTTAAGGTAGGTAGTTTAAGATCACCGTTCGAGAACAGGCGAACAATAGAGAAGGCCTTGGAATGCTCATCCACTACACCACACGAGAGTTCTTGCCTTCCTGCTGAAGAGTAGCTTAAGAAGGTACCCCTTAGTCTAAAGTCTGTGCGGAAGGTGCTATGGCTAGGTAGGTTAGGTGTCGGGTTGGTAGAATCGTGGCGGTACGCGGGCGAAGGAAGGGGCGTCAAAATCAAGAGGGAAGGAACCAACCGAGGCAAGGCTGAGTGATTGCGTGAGAAATCCAGCTTTGGTTACCTACCTAGGTATGTTCCTTGGTGATTTATCAGTACGTACCTCAATCAAAGTATTATCTCCATGCAGAAATTCCTCACCATGACAAGTCTTTGCGATTCACTTCATCGGTCTCCTCTCCTTCAACTAGGTAGAAAACAACACACCAAACGACCAGAATCATCAACATCAGACATGCTAACTACCTAGGTAGGTAGATATCTTGACCCAGGGTCGAAAACCATCATCCACCCACCCACCTTCGTATTTCCCCACCATATATCCAAGGTCTCGCAACTTTGTCCAAACACGATGCTAGAGAGTCACATGCCAACAAACACCCATATCCCAAAAAAACCTCCCACTCCGATCGGGCACCACCGAGTTCCCCTCAAACACCCATCTCACAACCCTCTGTTCATACAGCCCAGCCTTTCCTCTCTCAAACCTAGAACCTCCTCCCATCTTGCCCAACTCAACATTGTGTTGTCCCTGGTGTAACAAACTACAGAGGTAAAAAGATCATTTCTTCTTTTGCTAACCAAGCAAGTGTACCTAGGTACCTGGTATGGAAGTCTATAGATGAGCATGGCAAACCTCGAACAGGGTTCAAGATGCCATTCTTGGAAAAGTCCATCAAATATTTACTAGCTCCAATCGATGAACAGGATGGATGGGGGCAGTTGGAAGGTAGAAGAAATACGTGGATGGCGATCGAAACGAGGAAAAAGGATTTGTTTGTTCCCTTGTTTTATAGGTAAGCAAGCAAAACAACTTACCTATTCTGAACAGTTCAATAATAGGTAAGGTACCTAGGTAAGGTAGTCATCCGATATGATGATTTCTCCACGTTGCCATTTCGTTTAAACAGTCGAGAGACGAAAAAAGATGACGTGCAGGTCGAATGGCGTGTTTTTCTTTTCTTCTTCCTCATCCGTTGTTAGCGTTTGAACGTGGAAGCTTTCCGAGCCAGAGGGTTGACCGGTGAGTTGAAGCAACGAATCAAGATCCATATTATTGGTGTTGGAAGGCTGGAGGTGGGAGGTTGGGCACCGTTGAAACGCGGGCCAGAGAGGGAGATGTTTTTCTATTCTTGGGAGTTTGGAATTGTTTTGGGTTTGGTTATTCTTGACTTAGATGATATGATCGAACGGGGAGATCGAACGGGAGATCGATCTGGCTCGAATGAAATCTACGTTGGGCTTTTTTGGATTCCCAACTGGGCGGGTGATTCCCAATGGAAGGTACTCGGTATCGTTGAGGAACTGATGAAACGCGCCACACACACTCACCCGGCTCTCTGGGCCCTAGTAAGTCGATCGAGCCTTTCCGGTTGGATTCTTATTCGGTTGACAGGTTGTCTTACATCGGGGCTAGTGATGGATCTTGTCAAAGGATGTTACCGTTTGTGGATCTTGAATCTACGGATCAATTTGCCGTTGGGCCCGAGATGTGATGTTCATCTCCGATGTCGGTTAGGGTAACAGGTGTCGACGACGACGGTGGCGCAAGTACAGAGTCAGTCACTCAGCTGGAGGTCACAGTGGGCAGGCAGCAAGGGGAGAGCAAATACAGAGATCCAATAATCTCAATTTCCTAATGTTTTTTCTTTTCGTCCGTATGTACACAGACCTTCTCCTTCGGGGCAGGCCCAAAGACGACGATGTCAAAGGTCAGGTATTTCCAGCCAAGTGTCAGTCTAGTAGGTAGACGACTTTCCTGACGAATGCCGAACGCTCACACCGTCTCAGAGACCAAGGGACGATGTTAATCAAGCCCGATGATCCCCACCTTTGCCTCCCCGTCAAAGATAACATGAATCAACAAAAAATGTACTAGAAAAAATTCCATCCCATCCAACCCATCCATCATAACAATTGCCCATGATATCTCCTCCACTGTTCTTCCTTTTTCTTTCCAATTTTTCTTTTTCAAAAAACAAACAATCTCATATGTCGGTATCAATATTCCAAAAAAACAGTTCCCCCATCCATCATTCAAACATCCGCCCCGTTATCCTCCCTCTTCCATGCAGCAGTGGGCAAATCCAAATTTTCTTCCTTTCCTCCCTTGTGCTATCAACTCAGTCGAAGGCGCAAAGAGGGGGTGTCGGTTAAAGCGAGATTAAGCCAGCAAAGCGGTACACAAAAATAGCCTCCGAACGAAAAAGAAAAAAACTCCCCAAAAGTTGTTGAGAGGTGAGCGAAACATGACAGAAAAAGTTCAAGTCCGAAATACGAAATGTTCCGACCATAATCCGTACTGTTTGAACCGGTTCGCCATAAAATCAAAAGATAGAAAAAAAACATAAAAAAAGGTTGATGTAAAGCTCCTCCTCCGTTTGTTGCTTGTCCAAGATCCTGTTCAACTCTGAAGAGACATGACGGTTTGCTGTCATGAGTCTCGCTGAGAAACACTGAAGTTGTTCAAACGTGAGAATGTCAAAAAGATGCCATCGAAGAAAACGCAACCGAGGCTATGCAGAAATCGTAAACCGTGGAAAAAAATCATAACCATGGGGAAAGAAATCCGGGGACATGATGCTCTCGTGGTCTCGTTGGCGTCGTTCGTGAAGATTTGATGAAGTGGAGCTGGTGTTGAGTGATAAAACGTCTCGAGTGCGGCACATAGGAGAGGATGGTGCAAAAGAGCGAGCTTGGGTCGCTGCCGTCCGTCGTGACAGGAACTCCCCAGGAGTGTAATGCTAACGATCTAGTTCTGACAATCGCTTACATTGGTCCATACTGCGGTGGAAAGTAAGCAGAGGCGGGCGGAGGCGGGGGTCCAGGTGGAGGGCCCCTGTAAGACTGCCTTCTTCCTCCTCCTGGCGGCGCAGGTGTTCTTCTCTCGCGCAAGGGCTCAAGTGGTGGTGGAGTTCGGCCCCGAGGAAGGGGCAGAGGCTCTCTCTCATGCATACGAGGAGGCGGGGCAGCGAGGCTAGGCCCGCTCACGGCGGTCCCAGGTCCAGTGTTTCGTCGAGCTGCTTTGCGGGATCCTTGAAGGGCGCTGAGGGGCGGGTCCTTGACGGCAGGCTCGTTATCGTCGGGGAGGGTCAGTTCAACCAAGCTGTAGAAGTACTCGAGCACCTCAGGGTAGCGTTGAACTGATGCTTGCCAGTCCTCATCGATACCCCTCTTGAGCGCTTGCTGGGCGGCCGCGATCTCATTAGGATGCGGTGGAGCGTGGTAGTAGTGGTAGGCATGGGCAGTGATGCGTTCCAAGTGTTGGGCATGTGTCTCCTTGCGTCGCTCCGTCAATAGTCGGAAGTACTCGAGGATATAGTCTTGTGCGTGTGCGCGAACCCATGATCTGCCATGAGTGTTAGTATGTCTGTTGACACCCAGATCAGTGATAAGATAGGGGAACTGACCTGATGTCATTGTAGATGGACTGCATCATACGGGCCTCGGCTTGCCGAACCGCCACCTCCAGACCCTTGGCCTCACACTCGCAGGCGTGAGAAGCCGGGGCATGGCAAATGGCACAATCGGGGTCCATCCTGATTACCCCTTTGCGGGAGGATTTGGTGTTGGGGGAGGTGTTGGGGTTGTTGTTGAAATTATAGTCTCTGGAATACATGTTTAGTGCTTGACCGGTGGAAATGTCTCGGTGCGGTGGTGGTGGTTGGTTGTTCATGGGGAAGGTGCCCGTTTGAGGCTCTCAAGTCAAGGTGATGATACACAAAAAGTACAGTCTCATGATCTATGGTCATGAAACAGCTGTGCTCTGGGGTCCTGCCCAGAATAACAAGAGATGATATGGAGAAGATGGGAGAGAAGATCAGCTGGGCGGGAGATGTTCCAGTCCAGAAGATAAGGAACACGCAGCAACGGACGGGCAGCGATGAGGTTCAGGTTGGGAGAGGGGGACTGGGGGACAAAGAGGGCGTGAATGGACGAGAGACTGGGTGAACAACAACTGACCTAGACTGGAGAGTCGGACGCTCACACACACACACACACACTCGGGGCGGGCGGCGATGGGAATAGACTGACTGCAAGCAGCAAGCACGAAGCAGCAGGCGGGAAGCAGCAAGCAGTCCACGAATGCTCAAGCTGCAGCAAGCAGATAGATGGTGCGTCGTGAAGCGTCTGGGTATCTGCGCGTGAGCTGAGCTGGACTGGACGGCGTGGACGGAGTTCAACTCACATTCTGGAGACCTTTCTGGGTGCTCTAAGTGACGGACAGAACCACGTCGGTTGTGTTTGGGAGAAGGGG